CTAAGCATTTCGTCAATTTTGCTGCAGTAATTGCAAGCTGTAACGGTCTTGCCTCGATCCATGAAGACGCAGTGGATCAGGCCCGCTTCAAACCATCCAGTGCACTTGGAGTTTACATAGGAAAATTGAGCGGACTTATCCATACCACTTTCGATCATTTGAAAATCTAGAAAAATTTTTTGAAACAAAGTCCAGTGGGTAGGGAGCGCCCCGACATGTAATGGGATTGGCGATAACCTCACAAAAAGTAGTACGGAAAACAGTAGCCGAACTTGGGCCTTGACTTGGACCTTCTCCACCCCATAATGGGAACCCGAAAGGCTCAATCGGAATTTGAAAGGTCTGCTGACAAACAGTGCCGGAAGACCTTTCGTTTCTTGATTTCGTTTCTATTATAACTGGTGTCTCAAGCAAAGTTCCTGCTTCCATCGAAGGAGCTTCTGACAAACGAGCGTCTCCCAAGAACTCTGAAGACATTTAAGGCTGCGTTCATAGCTTGCGGCAGCGTCCACCAGTCACCACCATCGTTTCGAGCGTCCATCGACGTCGGCGACCAGGAAAGTATAGACACCGCTCTAGCGAACGTCAGCGTATGCCAGTGTCTGCCAGCGTCTACCAGCGTCCGCCAGCAACCATCAGCGTCCCGAAGGACTAGGAATATATGGATGGACCCAGCGCCCACCAGCGATCAGGATTAGGCTATTGTGTAGTAGTACGGTGCGGTTGCACAAGCCACAATTTCACGACATTATCCAGCTGTCTGCTTTCTCCTACTTCCTCGTACTACCAGCAGTCTGCTACCGTACCTCACCATACTCTGTACTCCTGGTTCGTGGTGGACGGTAGGTAAACGCTGGTAGACACTGATAGAGCTGGATATCGATGCTTTCCTAGTCTCGAGACCTTGATGGTCGCTGGCGGACGCTGCCGCAAAGTATGAACGCTGCCTGAAGGTTTCTTTGTACAAGACTGGGGCTAGTAGGACCCATTTCCGTTTTGTCTTCCAGCATGATGCTTTCCTCCTCCGCAGGTTTCAAACTCCTAAAAACTACAGAAATTCTCATCTCTTCTACGTGACACCAGTTCTGCACAAGAAATCCTCCAAATGCCCCAGAGCGAACAGCTCCGGTCTCCTTTCTCTCTGCAGTACGCCTGATATCTCTTCCATCATTATAGATGCTCGTGAAGTCATACTTACTTGAAACTCTGGAGTGTTCCTTTCAGTGTCTTTTCAAGCTACTTCGCCTTCGACGACATTTGGCGATTGATTGCTGAATACCTGAGAGATGTACTCGTATCGTCGCACAGGAAGTGACAGTGTAGGACGAGTTGAACGGGAACCGGCACCGTATAAGCCGAGCTATAGGGCACTCCGAGAGACGGTAGGTGTCCCCCAATGTGCATGAGGGGATTCAGCTAGCTAGTGGTTAGTTATGATGGCAGTGTTAAACCAGCGCGCCGCCATACATCCGCCCCACCCCTGCTGACAGCCGCTGTTGATCGTGCTGAAGATTTCAGCAGCGCTATTTTGGCCCATGTTCCACCACCAGCTAGCTATCAGCTGATTCCAAACTAAAGAAGCCCGTCAGTTTTTCAGACAACTACCACAGCAACTCCAACAACTACATCAACTCGATTATCTCGTGCCAGTTCCTACGATCCGTTCGCCGCGGGTGCAACAAGAGTTCCTATGTCGTCGCCGTTCCGTGCCAGTGGCACGGACCGGAATACGCGTCTATATCGCGGCCGATGCTAACTCGTGGAATGTCCAGGACTCTTACCGGAACTGATTCTGCACCCACTCGGAGCTACTCGAACAGGTACTTTTTTGTAACTCTTTGAGCTAACCAGAAGTCTTCTAGAGCCCTCTTTAGGGGAATCCTTTATTCTTTCTGCGAGTTCTCGACTATGTCACCTAGACTGATCCAATAGCTTCATGTGCTTCACTTGCCATTCATGTGTAATACCCAGCTGTTCGACGGCTATTGATTAGCGACATCTTATGCATGGTTTATGGAGCATTTTCAACCCTGAAACTTAACTATTTACCTAAGCCAGTTGAAGTAATGAAGACCTCTCAGGTATGGAAGCACTGAACAACTCAATTATAAATCGCCATACAACACTGTATCATCGTCGGGCTACAGTAGCGGCACGTTACCTCGATCGAATGCGAATTTTCCACGAGCTGGAAGTGTCGGTAAGCGATTTGGTGGATTTGGCTCGTGGGTATGGGGAAGGGGAGGGTATGTCGAGCAATTCTCGACAAGGGGGTTGTATTTTGCCGCTGGAGGGAGAGGGGCAGTATTTGACCTGACGAACTTCTTCCGTTGATTGATTTTTCCCATTCAAGATTATCCCCCTCCTACTTGACAACACGACAACATCACTGATTCTGTTGGGTGATAAGGGGTGCTTACCTATACTCCTACCTCGAGCACATCGTCGCTGAGGATTCCTCAACAGGGGTGGGCTGCAATTGGTCGCGATAGTTATTTTTGTTGTTTCATGAACGCTATAAGAGAGGAGAAGGTTTGTGGGAAAGTAGTAAAGTTATCGGGAAATTCCGGAGAAACAGGTAGCAAGTGGGAAAAGCTAAGTGGTAGTTAGGAGTGAGAAGATGGGGGTTGTATTTCCCTCGCGGTTTTTCCCGTTTTAGATGTGCTATATCCCTTCCACCCCTTCCGCCCCCCCCACTCGACGCATGATGGGTGCGGGGGGGGGGAGTGTATAACGAACATTTCCCTTAGCTTTTAAGTTGTAAATTGTTTTGCCAACCCCCAATAACACCTCTATTTCTGATATTTCTGATAGTGATACCCATCAGCCCCCGCCTGCTCGAAGGAAACAGTCTTGACGAGATAGTGGCACTTTTGAAAGAGAACTACTATTGGAGGGGATCGTATTTTATAGAATTTTGACACAACGCGACGACATGCTTTGCCATTACACCTCATATCGCCGCGATAGTGAGGGGCGTGGCAACGTGCTCCAAGTCGAAATCGCGCGTGACGCGTTTTTGTGGGATATTCTCTCGTTCTAAGATAACTGTTATATTGTCTTATGCTGGACAAAGACAACACAATTGAATTGACAAAGACAAAATAAAGACAATTGTCCCAGAATGGCAATGTCATTCTAAAAGAGCAAACTGCTTAACGATAGAGAGCATGTCGCCACGCCCTCCCCATCTTCGGGATATGAAGTGTACTTACTCGTACAATTGTTAACTTCAGGAATCACAATGAGAGAAAGTCCAATGAGGGATACTCGTACTTACCGCGACTACACTCCAACCTCTTCTTACACTTCGAACACAGCATCAAGGTACTAGAAATTTCTTATTCGAACACAGCATTAAGGTACCTAGAGGAAATTTCTCAAAATTCGGAAGAATTTCTAAAGTTCTCATGTTGCTTATTGTCTCACGTTTCGGCCATGCTTACTTTACCCTTCACCGGCTGTATGTCAAACTTTTCGCGACTTTTCCTAAACCTGGTCCGTTGGGGTAGATTATCTAGAAAATTGTCCTTAATGCACTCACTAGACGCCGCCATCGTTACCATATTTTCGCACTGAACGAGTACCACCTTAGTATGATATTGTAACTGTAATCGTGCTCAATTCCATCCCTGGAAAGTTCTTAGCAAACTTGATAACTTGAGTTGCGTTGTGGCAAGCGTCAAGGGTTTTCATAGCCAAACCCACCTTTCTTAACCTTCCATGCCCAGGCAGAGTTTTATACCGCACGGATGTGACATAAACGCTCAGGGAGCGAATTACCCGGGCGATGAATTTCTAGCCAAACCCATCTTTCTGAACCTTGAATGCCTGGGCAGAGTCTCGAAAAGTTGGCAATATAGGGTGAACAGCTTTAATCCTGATCCAGAAGATTCCTTTGTGAAAGCAGAAGCAGAAGCAGAAGTAGGGAGTTATGCCGGAGAGTTCATATGGACTAGGGCCCGTCGTATGTTGGGAATTCCCAGTGAGGGAAAGATTGTATTAGGCTGCTCTTCGGCTGGATGGAGGGAGTCGAACGTGGAAATGTTTTCGTTTGTTGATTTTCTCAGTTTTTCCCTTTTCAGCTGGCTATATACACCCTCCTCGCTCTTGGTTTTGGTTTTTTGAGGAAGCACTTGAGACTCGGAAAAAAATTTCGGAAGAGCCAGAGGAAGTTGGAAAAATTCGGGAAGTCGGTATACAGGGTGGGAAGGAGGAGAAGTGTCTTACCCCATGGTAGGGTTGTACTTTGTAGAAACTTCTCCCAACGGCAGGACCTGCCCTGCTATGGACAAAGCGGCAGCAAAGTAGTGGGAGCTGGAGAACACTGAGGCAATCCATCCTCACCAGCCTTTTTTTGGAACTTAGGCTAGATTTTCAAAAGCAACCAATGCTCCATTCGCGGAGATTGGTGTCGGTTAGCGACTTATTTATAGAGTTGATCCATCCCCCCCCCCCCTCAGTGCAAATTTCACACTGTTGGATACCTGAACGTCTGACGCTGCTACTGATTAAAGTCGGATGGTTGTCGTGCGACGGAGCCTTGGTGGCTTCGGGCTATAGTTCTGCATACATCCTTGTGGATGCTGAAGCGCTACAAAGGCTGGATTTGGCACAGCGCCACCTAGTTTTCCACCAACCTCTACCACAATTGTTCGAGAGAATGCTGGCGCTGCGCAAAACTAGCCCACTCTAAACGCTCCATTGTCCGCAGCGAGCAAAACTGTATTCATCATAAAGTACATGCACGAGGTCTCTTGTGAAAATTCACCAGGCAGGAGGTTGTTTGATGTTGTAAAAGCATGAGTGGGTGCAGCACATTCAAAAGAAAAAAGTTATGAGAGAGTGAGTGAGCGGATGAAGTGCAGAGTTTACCACCTACTGGCGTGTCAGAGGTAATAATGGTACGTGGGTGAGACGAGCAGTAAACTGTGCGGGCAAAAAATTCTATGATCTGGCATATCACTGTGCTGTGAACCGAGGAGAAGGTGTATGAAGATTTCATAAGATCTCTTGAGTCTTTGGGGGTACATTTCGCAACTATCCATGAGAATCGTCGTAGTTGAGAGTTGACAAACGAATGTATGTGCACCATGTGACGTACCCGCAAAGAATAAAAGCAGAGAGAAAATGTTGAAAGCTTCCTTAACAAGATCATCCTTGCTACCAGCGAGATATTCGATGATCCAACGAGTTTCGGGTGACAAACTAGGCTAGAGCAACGAGAAAGGATAAAAATGGGCGTAGTGACAGACACCGGGGGCGGAGTCACTTGCCCCCAGGAGGAGCCACCTGAGCAACCTTGCGACCTGACTTCCGTACCATGCAACTTTCTGGCGCGAAACTGGTGCAAGATTGTTCATATCACATAAATATCACAGCGGAAGCGTCTGCCGTTAGCGCTCAACGCACCAGTGTCTCGAACACTTCAGGCGTCGTTGCCTCCCACTAGGAGCTGCTCACCTCCTAGAGTTCCAGGCGGTTTCGAGCTGAGTGGATGAGATATCCGCATTCAGGTGGCCGAAGTACTCCTGGATACAAAACTTTATCCAGAACCAGGAAAATTTTCGGAAAGCTGACTCGAATTTGAATATTGGGCAAGTTAGAGAAGATAGCACCTGCAAATTATGAAGTTTCCAGTTCGTAAGTGGTGACAGCAGACAGTGTATAACCAAAAAATACCAATAAACTGATCTCTGACCATGGTTTAGTTCGAGACCGATTCGTTTTTCTTCCTCTTACTGAAGCCAGTGATATAAAGAGACAGTCCTGCAATCCGAAACCGCCACCAAGCGGAACTTTTCAGTGGTTCACATCGAGGGCTAAAAGCCCCATTTGGTCCACTCTGCTTTACTTCAACCTCAAACGCATCGCTCCATATCACTGTCAAGCGGCTGATCGAACCCCTTCTACTACACTTACGACACCTGAATGACGGAAAGGGCGAAAGGATGAAGTTTCTGATCGGACCCCTACTGGAGGAATCGATCAGCGGCCAG